GAAGCGACCAAGGACACCTGAGGCAAACTCGCCACCCCGGTCGGAGTGGAGGCGCAAGGCAGGGAGACCGCGGTGGACACGAGCAGAGACAAGCCAGGGGATGAGAACGTCAGGCACGTCGGCCTTCCGCTCCAGGGGGAAGACGGTGGTGTAGCGCGTGAAGTCGTCGACAAGCACTAGGAAGAAGCGCTCGCGACGCGGCCCATGGACCGGGGCTGGGCCCCAGACGTCCATGTGCAGAGTCTGCAGTGGTGCGGTGGTAGGGGGAAAAGAGGAGGAGTGAGGGGCACGGCGGAGCCGGCCCTCGACACAAGGCGTGCACGGTGGGGCGGGGGAGGAGGGAAACTCGGGGAACGAACCGGGGAGACCAAGGACGAGACCGTGCTGGGACATGTGACGCAGACGTGGGAGTGCAGGGTGACCAAGGCGGTGGTGCCAAAGGAGAGTCGGGTGAGTGAGGGACCGACAGGAGCACGCGGCAGCAACCTGGGTGGACGCAGCTACCGGGGGGGAAGACCCAGCCGGGGACGTCGCGGTGTCAAGAGTGAACAGGCCGGACACCGGGTCCCGGGGGAAAGTGGTAAGGGGGGCACCAGTGGCGGCCTCGGTACAGACAGCATACCGCTCGTGACCAGGGAACGTAGTGGTGACGCCAAGGTCCTGGAGGCAGCCGACACCAACTAGGTTCCTGGAGAACGAGGGGATATGCAGACCGGTGAGCGAACCTGAAGGAACCGCCGGACAGGGAAGGGAGGTGGAACTGCGGGCAAAGACGGGACCACCGGAGGGGTCAGCAAGAGTAACGGCAGCGGGAACAGGCAGCGGCGTCAGCGTCGTGGAGTCGCGGAAGAAACACCGGGAGGCGCCAGAGTCCAAGGTGAAGGAAATTGCAGCAGTCGCGTGAGGCGGCAGTGAAGCGGTGGAAGCACCAAGGCTAAGCAAAGCAGGAGATCCTACGCCTGACGCAGCAGGGGAGTCTACGCTAGGCACCGCTACACTAGGCAACACGGGGTAATAAGAGGGAAGCACACTAGAGTCATCAGCATACAGCACATGCAAGGCTGCTACAATGGCATCCATGTCCAAGTCAAAAATCCTAATGCTACGCCTAAGCAAGCTGTGCCAGTCCGGGAGGTCGGGCGCCGGGCCAAAGCGCTGGCGGAACAGGTCGTCCAGACGACGAAAAACAGCGAGGAGTAGAATGACCGATCTTACCGCAAACGAAGCCGCGGCGAGGACCGGTCTGGATCTGGTACTGACAGGGCCCGCCTCCAGAACCACCACCCGGTGCACCACCACGCGCACGACCACCACCAGCTCCAGGCCACCCAGGCGGGAGAGCACTCGCCGGCCTCGTCTGCGGCGGCTGCTGCGGCTGCTGCGGCTGCGGCGACTGCTGCTGCTGCAACGGTGGAGGCAGCGGGGCAGCTGGACCGGGCAGGGTCCCCACGTCCGCACCGGCACCGGACGACCCGCCTCCACCACTACCCCCACCCGCACCCCCGCCGCCTCCGCCGCTCCCAACCTTGGGGCGGCGGCCCTTCGCCGAGCGGGACTGCACTGCAGCAGCAGTCTCAGCCACAGCGACAGAGCCGTCGGAGAAGGTACACTGAGCGGGGGCACAACCCTGAAAGATAGGGACCGGTACTGTACCGCTCGCCTGGGCTATGGAGCGGTGACGAGTCTCTATGGCAGTCAGGGTGTCAACAAAGTCGGTGAGGGTGAGAGCAGCAGGATGGATGCTAAGAAACTGGTCGCGGGCGGCGGCAAGGCGGTCAGGGAGGCGGGTGGCAAGGAGGTAGAGGGTGGAGGTCATGGGAGGCTGGTGGACTCTAAGCTGTGCATCAGTGCAGGCAGCGCGCCAGGCCTCATCTATCGAGGTCAGGTGGGCAGCGAGGTCAGAGACAGTGGGGAAAGACGCCAGGTCAGGAAAGAGCAGGGGGAGGATCAGGCGACCCACTGAGGCAGCAGGAGGGGTAGAATAGCGCTTGATGACAGCATCAAGGTAGGCCTGGGCGGTAGTAATGGTTCTAAAGCGAGGGCGCTCAGGGGGGGGGAGGGCATTGCTAATGGCGAGCTGAGCAAGGGCATCGCGGGAAAGCCAGACAGAGCGGGTAAGGGCAGCAGCGGCAGCGGACTCGCGCTCAGCGGGCGTGGGATCAGCGGGCAGCACAGCAGGGGGGTCAGGGCAGGGGAGCATACCGTCTAGGTGTGCAGAAAGCGGGTGGCCGTCCTGCCGCTGGCCAGTGAGGTGGCGGCGAAGGTCAGCCAACCACGCCTCGAACTCCAGAGGCTGACCCTCAGCATCAAAACGAAGCTCAGCAGCCATGAGGGGCAGTGGAGGACAGTGCAGTGCAATGCAGTGCGGTGCAGTGCGATGCAGTGCGGTGCAGTACGGTCCAGTGCGATGCAGTGCGGGCGGTGCGGTCCAGTGAGGTGCAATGCGGTGCAAGGCGGGGCAGGAAAGTGAAGGAGGGTGCAAAGTGGTGCGGGGAACGGGGGACAGTACCAGGAAGTATGGAGGGCCGGGGCAGGCGCGTCAGGGCCGGGCAGGCACGACAAGGCCGGGCGGCGGCGACGGGGCCGGGCGGCTGCGACGGGGCCGGGCGGCGGCGACAGGGCCGGGCGGCAGCGACAAGGCCGGGCGGCTGCGACGTGGCCGGGCGGCGGCGACGGGGCCGGGCGGCAGCGACAAGGCCGGGCGGCTGCGACGTGGCCGGGCGGCTGCGACGGGGCCGGGCGGCAGCGACGGGGCCGGGCGGCAGGGACGGGGCCGGGCAGGACACAGCAGGGCCGGGCAGGGGCGACGGGGCTGAGCGGCTGCGACGGGGCCGGGCGGCAGCGACAAGGTCGGGCGGCAGGGACGGGGCCCGGGCAGGACACAGCAGGGCCGGGCAGGGGCGACGGGGCCGGGCGGGCGAGCAGGGGCCGGGCAGGGCGACAGGGGCCGGGCAGCCGCGACAGGGGCCGGGCGGGCGCCACGTGGCCGAGAGGCCGCGACGGGGCCGAGCAGGGGCGACGGGGCCGAGCAGGGGCGACAGGGCCCAGGAGGGGCTCGACGGGGCCCAGGAGGGTAGCTACGGGCCCAGGAGGGGCGCTACGGGCCCAGGAGGGGCGCTACGAGCCCAGGAGGGGCGCTACGGGCCCTGGTAGGGGCGCGAGGGGGGGCCTGGGAGGGGCGCGACGGGGCGTGGCGGGGCGCTACAAAGCCCAGGTAGGGGCGCGACGGGGCCTGGGGGGAGCGCAATGGGGCCCAGGAGGGGCGCTACCGGGGCCTGGGAGGAGCGCGACTGGGCTAGGGAGGGGCGCGACGGGGCCTGGGAGGAGCGCAATGGGGCCCAGGAGGGGCGCTACGGGGCCTGGGAGGAGCGCGACGGGGCCCTGGAGGGGCGCTACCAGGCCCTGGAAGGGGCGCGACGGGGCCTGGAGGGGCGCTACGAAGCCCTGGAAGGGGCGCGACGGGGCCTGGAGGGGCGCTACGAAGCCCTGGAAGGGGCGCGACGGGGCCTGGGAGGAGCGCAATTTGGCCCAGGAGGGGCGCTACGAGGCCTGGGAGGAGCGCGACGGGGCCCTGGAGGGGCGCTACGGGGCCCAGAAAGGGGCGCAACGGGGCCCAGGAAGGGGCGCGACGGGGCTAGGGAGGGTCGCGACGGGGCGAGGGAGGGTCGCGACGGGGCTAGGAGCACGACGGGGCCCAGCTAGGGGCGAGCGGAAGCGTGAGGGGGGGGGGGGGGATCCTACCTACGCGTGATACCATATCAAATAGTGAAATTGATAATTGAGAGGAAGAGAGTACACAAACATATACCTAACAGTTGTACTCTCTAGAAGATGACCCTATACAGTCTATACAAGCATGATAACTAAACATGTTTGACAGAGGGGTCGCGACTGGGCTCAGGAGGGGCGAGGCGAGGCTAGGAGACGCGACGGGAGGAGCGGAAGCGGTAGGTGGGGGGGGGGGGGGGGGGGGTCGAAACCTACTCGTGATACCATATCAAACCTAGAATTTTAATAATGTGAGAGAGAGAGTACACAAACATATACCTAAATGTTGTACTCTCTAGAAGGTGACCCTATACAGTCTATACGAACATGATAACTACACATGTTTGACACTAGATTCCCCGCACCAAATCTAGTTTCGCGTTTCGATTCGCATTTTTCGTGCGAGCGGCGTGAAAACACCAATGTTCTTTACAACAGTTGATATGCGTGCGCCACCCCACCCCAAAGTTGTTTGGCGAAAATTGCCAAGTCAAGTTACCCACACGAGTTGCGCAGCAGGGTCAAGTTGCACAGCCCAAATCTCGCCAAAAGCACCACGTCCTTACGTGTGCCTTCCTATTGTTCGCTGTTCATCACCCCTCCCACACTCCCACTCTCTCCCTCCTTCCCCCCCACCCCCCCCCCCCCACCCCCCCAACCAACTTCCCGCGCCTAGCGCGCCCCTCCTTTCCCTTTTCCGTCCCACCCTCCCCTTTTGTCCTTTTATATTGGCGGTGTTTTGCGTGCTCGGTTTGTTTGCGCCCTGATTGGTTCATGAGGTTTCGTCTAAAATGTGTTTTTGTCGCGCATGGTGTTGCAACGCTCACTCGTTGACGAAAACCACTCGCCACCTCGCACCACTGCCCTACGCCCCTGCGCGCTGCCGTGTCCAACTTTTTGCCCCTATCATGTTTATTAATCTTGCACGTTTTGGGTCAACGGCTTTAACATGCAATTTGGCCTTGCATGTGCCTCTTGAATCCGAGCACGACAAACGTAAGGACAAGGTGGTAGTAACTACAGTCTTCGTGTTCGGTTCACAACCAATTCCCCCTTCGTTACACTGTCGGTTATCGGGGATCGAACGAACATGAACCATACACGTGGCTATTCGTGAGTGGCCTTCCGAGAAGTCTGGAAGCGCCTTTGTGTCCTTTCGCTCGCTGCTGTCGATCTTGGCAGTGTCATCGTCACTCATCAGCCAGACTGCGATGATTTTCAGTCAATCCCAGAGTTAAAGTGGAAGCATCAATTCTCCTGCATCCAGCGTGTTCCATCCACCATCGCCGCATCACCATGGCTGCTCTGAGCTCCGTTGCGCTTTGCAATGTCGTTCCTTCAGGAAGATGCGTCGCGCAGATATTCCCGGGTGCAAATTCCTCGGCCTCCTCTTTCGTATGCGGAGATTTCAACCTGAAGGCCGTCAGCCAGCGTCAATCTCCAGCATTCGCTGCGAAACGGCCAAGCGCCGCTGTCGCCAAGGTGTGAATTTTGCCCGATTTACGCATGTGTCGTGAAATTCAACTTCAACCGCAGCCGCTAAGAGACTCGTTGGATGAACGAATTCAGGTTTCTGTCGGCGACGAGGCTCCGCCTCTGCAACTGACCGACCAGAACGGTCGCGTGTTTGACCTGGCCAAGGTCAAGGGGAAGAAGAACGTGGTTCTTTATTTTTACCCCGCGGATGACACTCCCGGATGCACAAAGCAGGTGCATGACCGCTTCCTCAGCCTCCTTCACACTCACCCCCAGCAAGTGGTCTCTAACACCATTTCACTCTGACACTGCAGGCATGTTCGTTCCGCGATTCTTTTGAGGAATTCCGGAAATTAGGCGCCGAGGTTGTCGGAATCAGCGGCGACTCACCGGAGTCCCACAAGGTGCCTACTAGCAACGTGTAAAATTGCTGCCAGTCACGGTTGGCCTCGCTTCCAGACACTTGACGCTTTCCCCTCGATGCCAACCCTGCAGCTGTTCGCCGAGAAGTACAGCTTACCCTTCACTCTGCTGTCCGATGAGGGCAACGCTGTGCGCAAGGAGTGGGGCGTCCCTAGTGACCTGTTTGGGGTCCTTCCTGGACGTCAAACCTACGTGATTGACAAGAAGGGCGTCGTGCAGGTAAGTCCCGTCGACTTTTAGCTTTTCCACCAGTAATTTTATGTCAACTGACGTTTGCATGCCATTCTCTGACTGCAGCTCATTTTCAACAACCAGTTTCAACCAGAGAAACACATTGCGGAGACAATAGCGGTGTTGGAGGCTCAAGTTGAGGAGCCAAAATCATTTTTCCAGTTCCCAAAGTTCTTCTGAAGAACAGTGAAGTATTTTGCAACGAGTATGTTATCACCTATTCGACGGGTACATATCTTCTGCAAACATAGTTGACAAAAAGGAAAAAAAATGTCCTGTAATCAAGATAGTTAATGAACGGACTCACATAATAATGCAACACCCACAAATATTGAAACATTGTCTACTAATATATTGATAGAACATGGTCACATTGTAAAAAAGTAATTGGACAAATTCTCATCTAGTATACTGTGGAGAAACCTGGACGTGGCAACTGCTTGACCTCCAAGGTTGGGATGTAAAGGCTGATCTTCAATTCGTACAGACAACACAATTGTGAAAGGACAATATCGGTGCTAGTCTGGTGATGACAGAGGAACAATAGGGAGGGTAAAAAGAGAAGTGGCAGAACATGACAATTGAACAACAAACCAGTTGCCGTTACCCAGTGGGAAAAAAAATAGTCATTAGGGAAAAGAGGATGTGGTAACCACTTGCATACATGGACAATGCATACATGATCACCACTTGCACAACGAGATGGAGGGATGTAACATGGTAGGGACCAGACTCAGTAGAAAAAGGGGGGGGAAGTCGGCAGAAAAATGAGCCTTGGCAATGGCGAAGGTGTAACATACCTGGTATGCTAGAGAGCAACGATTCCTGTTGGCACAGGAGATTCTTGCACCTCCACCCTCAGCTCGGGATACTGCCAAGGACTGAATTCCTGCTTGGAAGTATCTTCAACAGGAGCTTCAGAGATACTCGACTTCCTCTCGTCATACAGCCCGGTATATTCATAGATTTCTAAATCTCCCCATGGCGTGACAGCTGTCTCCCCAGACGAACGAAACCACTTTGGGACAAAAGCATCCTTGCGCTTTTCTCTCTCACGTTTCTCTGCACGTTGGTGCTCTTCCAGCCTGCAATTCCATTCGAATGGCGTTTGCTTAGCCGACAAACAAAAGCAAGGCAACAGTGGGCATGGCAGGAAGTCAGCTTATACATACCTATATTTCTCTGTAGCAGACTGATTGATGTCCCCCTCTTCCAAGGCCTTTCGATCAGGGCGTAATCGGGAATCAGATGGCAGCAGGGTTGTAGGTGCAGTCTCAAAACTGTTGAGCTTCTTTGCAAAGTGAGTAAACTGGAATTTATCGTCCTCAGGTAGGTCTGAGAGTCGCCAAACCTGCAACGATCCAGGGAAATACTTTCAATGAGGGCACGGGCTAAAACGTCAACAAGCCAGGCAGTGCCAAGGAAAGGAACATACCTCAGTCAGTGTGGATCCCTCCAGTGGTTCTCCTTCGTTATCACATGGTTGGTAGCTCAGTGACTCGTTCCACTTGCCAGTGATGAGCATCTTAGGTTCTTCAGAAGAATCGTACACATACCCGTCAACTTCGTAACGTCCAGCCCTACGCAATGCAACGGAAGTAAGGAGAGGTGAGAGATGAGTAAGGAGAGACAAGGCAGCTCCTGGCTGCCAGTTGAAGCCTCTTGGTGGCTCCTGAAGTTGAGGAAACAGCACACGAAGCTGGAAAAAGATGAATGGAGCAACATTCAAAGAAACAGATGTATGACTGAACCAAGAAGCACATCGAGGGACGCGATTCCTGAACGACACAAGGCCAGTGTGAAATACTCACCCAAACCAGCCACAAGGCTGAAAGAAAAGAACGACCTTCTCTCCCGTGGTGGTGTTTGTAAGCACCATGTCACCAGGCGAATCCACCCACGTGCGGCCAAAGATGATATTCTGAACCTTGGTAGGTGGAGGAACCAAATCAAACACATGACCCGACCTCTTCAACTTCACTCGCGTCCTGCAAGCAGTGCAATCAAGCGGCTGCTTAGAACGAGTATGAGTTTTTGGACCAGACCAGGATGATTTACTATGATGAACTTACCTTCCTAAAGGATAAACTTCCACAGAATTCCCAAGGAACTTTGTCTTGACCTTTGAGGTGCAGTCATATACGAAGTGCTCATTCTCCCCATGCCCAGCACAAATAGGCGGATGATGACTCACCTGCATAAAACTACAGAGAATGAGACGCAGCTCAACACATCTACGCTAAAAGCATCCAAGGACTACCTGCTCGTTCACAAACGTGACGTTGTTGTGGTCTGAGTACTCAAATGTCTCGCCGAGAATGGGGTTGAATGGCTTCCACGTCCTTGAGAACGCCACATATGGAGAGACCGCCCACGCAGCTGAGAAAAAGGCGCTCATTATTAGAACATGCAGACAGAGAACAACAGGGAGGACTGACCCGACAGAACCCCTTACCCGTGTAAACCATCCTCATGTTGGGGTCATCTGTGCTATCCGCTTTGTTGAGCAACTCGGTGTACTCCATGAGCTGAAACGCAAGAGTACACTAGCTCAGGCCACACAACACGGTTCGTGCAGCAGAACGTCGAAAGAGGCTCACCTCGCACATCTTCTGAAGCATGGTCATGGGTTCGAAAATGATGACAGGAAGTGTAACAAGAGAAGTGACATCAGCGCCAATGTACTTCTGCGCTTGCTTGAAATAGCCTTCTTTGTCCTGCACATCTAGCATGATATGTTAGCAGAGGACGAGTAACTCGCAAACACTGGCAGTACAGGTTAAGAGCCCCACCTGGTTGCTGAACCTTCCTCTGGCGGCTTCATCCATGACATCTTCCTTTCCTCCTTCCGGATTTACGATCTCCAAATTCTCAGTCCCAAGCAACCTGTCGCACGAAATTCACCCACGTCATGCCAGTCGACAGAAACGACCACCAAGGAAGGCAACGACACCCACTTCTGGAACCCTCTGGAGAGCATGCCGAGTAGAGACCCGTCCTGTCCTGGATCCGCCATCGCTTCGAGCAGATAGTCAATTCAAAAGTAGGAACAATGCGATAGAGCGACAAGGTGATAGACGAGGCACGCCAACTCTGAAACGGAGCCGTGAGTATATCGGTTTGTGAAGCGGAGCCGTCAGAATCTAGATCCTTCACATGGATGGAAAGAAGCTCTTTGTCAGTTGGCATTTGTCGGAGCCTTCGCGCGCACTGAACGTCGCTCCCCGATCAGAATAGCCTACTGGTGGACCCGACACAGGACTAGAGCGCAAAGCTACGCTGCCACTGTATTATACGTAGAATAAATGCATGGGCTCTCTATCTTGGAAGAAGAGTAAAGACAGAACAGCAGAAGGGAATGCAAGGCATTGCGTTCTGGTACTAAAATATCGTGAGGTTGCGCAATCAAACGTTGCCTGCTAAAATGCAGTATCGGATGTGAAATACACAATATTATATACACTAAATACTGGGTCGGGTGTAGCCCATCTCACACATGGATGGCATCTGGTAAGGCGACGCCAAGTGCACATTTGGCGATTCGGAATCCCCATAACATCAGGAGGAACCATCGCCATCCCTCAAGGTGCCTGTCAACCTGGACATCAGTCCCAGTCGCCATCAGCATCAAAGTAGCCTGCGTCCCTCATCTCAGAGTAATACGCGTCCTCCACTGCTGCATCCTCGTCCTGCGTGAGGCACGGCCAGAGGCAGTGGGGAGGGGATGGCAGGAGGGGGGGAGAGAAAGGAAAGGCAGGAGAAGGCAAGGGCCGCTGAGTGCGAGTGGTGGGTGACATTGATTGACGGTGCCGGGCTCATGTGTGGCCACGCCATGCCAGCACCAATCTCGATCCACCTCACAGCTAATCGCGGCACGCTGAGGCAAGCGAGGGGGGAGATTAGAAGGGGAAAACGAAGGGAGTGAGCAGAGAGTGGCACCATGGCGAGGTGTCATGACTTCATCAGTATTCAGGCTGCCACCTCCATCAGGTGTCTTGAACACTGACCTGATTCCCTGGTACATAGGATTCAAGCACATGAAAACTGTAGAAATGTAAGGATCTACATAGCTGTGTTGTTTCATACCTTGAAGAAGTCCGCTAGGAAGGTGGCGTAGAGCAGTGGGGGAAAGCAGGCCGTGTAGAGGTAGACTGCCAGCCCTCGTATGCTGGTGGTGGAGGGGGGAGGCATGGCAGCAGCCCATCCAAGCACACCCATGCCGCTCATGCACGGCCACCGCAGAGGAAAAAGGCATCCATGCCCACACAAAGCCCCACAGCCAAGCATGCCCATGCAGTCACGATCAACACAAGACTTAATATAAGGTAGCCTAGTCACGGGCAGCAAATGAACCCGGGGCACTGAGGGCACTGGAATATATGCGCGCGGCTGCATGTGCACATAGCACAAGCCGTGGGCACGGGCCAGCAGGGTGGTGAGGCATGCGCACTGACCAGAGGGCCGCAGAGGCGTGGAGGGCGAGGAGGAGGCAGGCAAGCGCGGAGCAGGCGTGGAGGAGCAGCAGGAGGAAGACGTAGCGGTGGAAGGCAGGCCCGGCTGCACGGGGGTAGGGGGGAGGGCAGGAGAGGATGCGAGTGAAGAGAGTTAAGGAGTGCATGCCTGATTCCAAGCCAACAAGGGCAAATACATGGCAGCACGCCATGCCAGTGTCACAAGCGCGCAACTGCTGACAGCAATCACTCCATGCCTTGCAAAGACCTCCTACTCCCTGCATCGCAAACCCTCTCCATCCGCACCTCCCTCTCTCTGAACCTGCCTCTCTCCGAACCTGCCTCTCTCTCCACGTGCCTCGCTCCCCACTGCCCCAGCAGCAGACTAGTGACCTGCAGCAGAGTGGCACCCACCAGGCAGGGCGTCACGCCAGTGGGAGAGAGGCAGGGCGAGCAGCGCAGCGTAGACGGCGGCGCGGCAGGCGTCATGGGCGAGCCAGAACGCCCATGCGGCGCCCGCACCGCCCGACGAGAGGGCGGGCGAGAAGAGCGGCACGGCGTGGTGGAAGACCAGCGACGCCTGGGGGGATGGGCAGGGCGCCGCACACACAGCAAGGGCCGCGAGCGGTAGCAGGGGAAGACAGGTAGACGGGTCAGAGGGGAGAGGGAGGACTCGGGGTAGGGAGGCAAAGGGGAGGCTGGGTGAGAGGGGCCTGAGAAGAGTTGCAGAGCACACAGCGCATTGGGAGGGCATGGCGGGGTTGAGAGCCTTGAGAGCATGGTGCTTCGTGGGCCCACCTGGAGAGCGGTGTCAGCGGCAGCAAGGATGGCAGCGATGAGGGCGGTGCGCAGCAGCGCCTCAGAGGCGGACATGAGCACGGGGTGCAGCAGGAACACCACCACGCCCGCCTCCACACACACGCCCACGCACCCCGCCGCCAGCCACGCTGCGCTCACCCAGTGGGTGCTGGCGGGTGCTGCAGCGGCTGGTGAGAGCACGAGGAGCTGCGAGGAGGATGGTGAGGGACGGCATGAGTGCGCGCAGAGGGACAGATGATGGCGCGTGGTATGCACGGAGGCAGGGGAATGCAGTCGGCACGGCACGCACGAGCGGTAACACGTGAAGCACGTGGGGATAGGGGAGCTGTGAGGGGGATTGCGCGGAGCAGCGAGGGGCGCACAGGAAGACTGGACGCGTGCCGGGCAGTGAACCGCAATTGAGAGCGAGGGGTGAGAGCGAGGGGTGAGAGCGAGGGGCACGGGCTCCCGGGCTTTAGGGTTCACAGGTTCGCGGGATTTTCCCCTCTCCCCACGTCTTTCCGCACCTACCCCCTCTCGTTCCCCTCCCTTCCCCCCCCCCCACGCTGCCCCTCATCTCAGCGCCACTCTCCGCCTCACCTGCGCCAGGGTCCGCGCGAGGTTGGTACCCGCGGCGGCCCACAGCAGCGCGTAGAACCCCGCCATCACGCCGCACTGTCCCCCCAGCACGCCCGCGCTGCGCGCGCGCCGCAGCTGCGCCAGGGCGGGGCGGACGCGGGAGAGCAGGAAGAGCAGGAAGAGCAGGGGCGGCGCAACGGTGACTATAGCGAACCATGTCCGCGATATAAGCGAGGCGTGCGGGTGCTGCCACGCCAGGCAGAAGCCCTCCGCGGATGGGAGTGGGGGGGGCGGAAGGAAGGGCGGATATGCGGAGGGCAACGGAGGGGGGTAAGAGGAGGGCGATGGGAAAGCGGCGGATTGCGGGGACGGGAAAGGTGGCGCGGGAGGGGATAGTGGGGAGGGGGGGAGAATGGGTGGAGAGAGAAAGGGCCCGGAGAACGACATAAGGGCGGACCAGCGGCCCTCGGCAAGGGCAGGCGGGCGGCGGCAGGCCGTTGGACAGAAGGACGTGCGGGTGGGAGGTGCTGCCGCGGTGAAGCCGCGCTGGACGCTGCTACAGGTGCAAGCGCGCAGTAAGGAAGGAGGTGGTGCGCAGTAACTTCTCCGCGCAGAGTATCTAATACTATGAAAGCGCCAACTGTGTGTGTGTCCCTAGCGCGCCGAGCCCAGCTGAGGAGAAAAGAAAAGACGGGAAACCAGCGAACTGCAAGCAAAAATTTAGGCGAAAACAAAAAAAGGGGCTTCAATTTGGCGACGAACGTAAAGGTGACGAACGAAGAAGTAACCCGTGGGAAAAACTACGCGCGAATTTAGCTATAGGTTACGCTCAATCTAAATCGTCAAAAAGCAAAACAGCAGATACATGTGCTAATATACCCTTTTATATGTGCGATATAAAAGGGTGACAAATATATCAAGATGAGTAGTTGAGTATAATCGAAGGATACAGGGATATACAGACTAGGGGTTGTACCCTCTAAGGCACAATCCAGTATAGTCTATAGTAACTACATAAGTTACATTTGACACACCCCCTAGATTACATAGGGGCAGTGCCTAACAGGAGAAGAAGCAGCTCAGGGCGGCACTACTAGTCCAGCCTCTGAGCCAAGGGTCTAAAGACCAGTCAAAGGAAAACAAGCAAGGCAAGAGCAAGACCAGGGCGGCACTACTAGTCCAGCCACTGGGAGAGGCCACAAGGCCAGTTAGGGTAATATATATAGAAAAGGTTTGTACACAATCAAGGCCCTAACAAGTGAGAAGCTACAGGAACAAGACCTAGCTGTACACAGTGCTGCTGATGATCTTTAGGCGCAAGCGCCTTCGTAAAGATATCAGCTGTGTTGGCACCGGAGGCCAAGTGTACTACGCGGGCCTGGCGACGCTGCTGCAGCTCACGCAGGAGGAAGTACCGCAGCTGGATGTGCTTCGTCCTGCCCTCGAGTCGCGGCTCCTGACACAGGAGGATCATGGCACTGTTGTCAGCGTACAGGACCGGGGCAGAGCTAGGCCGCTCACCTAAGTCAGTGAGCAGGAAGGTCAGCCAACGGAGCTCCTGTGCCGCCATGGCACCGGCGTAGATCTCGGCCTCACAACTGGACTGGGCAACAGACGAGGAGCGAGTAGCTCTCCACGAGACAGCACCTGAACCAAGGCTAAAGCAGTAGCCCTGTGAGGACCTAAGAGTCTCAGCATCGTCTGCCCACGAAGCGTCTGTGTGCCCAGTAAGGACCACTGGCCTACGCCCTCCAAGCACTAACCCCATGGCCGATGTACTTGCAAGATAACGCAAAACCCTCTTAGCAGGAGATCAGTGCGGAGGTCGGTGTCTGCCTGTGGCCACAAAGCGAGCCAGGATGCTGAGAGGGTATGCGAGATCTGGGCGAGTGCAAGTCATCAGGTACATGAGGCAACCCACCAACTCGGCGTAAGGGCCACTGGGCTCTACCAACTCCTCAGGAACTGGAGCAGAAGCGTGGGCGGGCTAGGGGGGGGGCGAACCTACTATGATACCATATCAAGATGAGCAGTTGAGTATAATAGAAGGATACTGGGATATATAGACTAGGGGTTGTACCCTCTAAGGCACAATCCAGTATAGTATACAATAACTACATAAGTTACATTTGACAAAATATAACTAAAACCCGCAGAATATAGTATCCACGAGACCGGCCCAGTGGTATGCCCACGTTTGTTCGTGCCAACGATCAAAACAACGAAGGGAGATAGTAAAATCAAACCCAACTTATTTTCCAACCAAATACTAAACGTGTAACATTACACATTAAAACATGCGACATGTTAGGAAAGGGCACCAATAGCCGATGAAACAACAACTTGCACCATCGTAGGCAAAATGCAATATGGATACCATTAAAAAACATTTCATATAAACTGGATCCGACTGTCAAACATATACAGTGGCTGAAACAATTGTCCACATGTTTAGCATATTTTCACATTTTGACGAGCTGTACGCTATAAACATTAAGCCTTAATTCATGGTGCCATACACGTAGAGAGGAGCAGTTAGAGCACTCACTCAAATCTCCTAAAACCAGAGTAGTATATTTCATGGTCCTTCAGGATGACAACATTTAATAACAGCACATCCGGACAATTTGTACCAGGGACAAGCAGCAAACTAGTTACTAGCAAAACTAGTACCTAGTCAATTGACACTTGGCCTTGATCACCACCTACACCCTCCTAGGCATGTTATCTACGAGGTTAGTGCAAACCTGTACAGGGATCTTCTCGCACTCTTCCTGGACCCACGCTTTTGCATAAGGGGGTGAGCACTAGGAAAATCGCGAAGTATTTGAACGTATGCAAGAGTACTGTGCATGATTTCATGTTGAATGTTATCTCTAAGACTAGCCATGCTGAGGTGTGGCCAAAGATGCCATTAGTCAATTGGTCTCGTCTTATCATGGATCGTCTTCATTGCACCGTTGTAGGTAAAAATTACGAGCAGAGTGGCAAAAAATTGCGTATCTGCCACGAAACTTAGGGTAACATAGCACGGTTGACAGTGCATCCTTGCACTATAAGAATCACGCTAGGATCCGTAGGTCTCTGAGCGGTGCAGCAGTCGAAGTAGTCGTGACTGGTGGGGAAAAATATCTGGGTTCAGGTGTGGTGAGGAAGAGGGTCAC